TTTAAATTGTACTAAAATATTTCTTTTTTTGGACTATTGCTCCTCCTTCAAAAGTAAATAACTTGAGCTGGGAAAAAGAAAAAAAAATAGTTTAAATCCGTCTTTTTTATAATATTATAAAAAAATATCACTACCTCACTTAATAACTATGTGAATAGTTTTTATTTAAAAATTTTAAATTCAAATTAGGGATCTCACACGTGGGAGTGTCTTTAGTAAATTATAAAATTCTGTTTATATATAAAGGGGGATTTAAACCATTTATTTTTCAGTCTCTATCCTTTTATGTAGGTTAGTATGTTCTTCCGCTCACAAAATAGCAGGTCCAGATCCAAATTTTCTTTATTTATGATGTCTTTCGCTTGATTCTCCTGCCCATTTAGCAATTTTGTTCTTATCTTAATTTGCAAGCTAAGGTATGGTGTAACTTGTAACATAGTAACACTATTATTTTCTCCAATAGCCTTCTAATATTTATTCTCTCTATAAAAGTTGAAATATGGATAAAATTTCACTAAACTCCCAATAAGTTTGGTCATTTGTCACTATACCCCCAATACCTTTCAAACTCTTGCTAAACCCCTAATAATTTTTAGCATAAAGCTCCCAAACTAATATTGTTAGTTAATGTGTGGTTAAATTACCAAAACAACCCTAATAAATTTTGGAAGAAAACACTTAATAAGTTTTAGTTTTCTCATTTAACCCCTGATAAGTTTTGGTAGAAAACCCTAATAATGGTTTTTTGCAATTTTAAATTTTTCGAGGGGTTGTTTATAATTTTTATATTTGTAAGGGATATATTTATAGTTTTTGGAGTTTTAAAGGGGTGGTGTACAATTGTTAGAATTTAGAGGAGATGATTTGTATTTTTTAGATTTTTGAGAGGTTCTCTGTAATTTTAAGAATTTAAAGGGGGTTTTGTGATTTTTATATTTTTAAGGGGTTGTTTATAGTTTCATATTTATCATAGGGCTATTTATAAATTTTTTTATTTTTACTAATTGTTTGTAATTTTATGGGTTAATATGCAAATATGAACGATTTAAGAGGTGTATATTGACCTTGAGGGATATTGTTAATCAGTGTTAAATTATGAGGTTAATCTTCTTATGGCGTTAAGTGCCAAAATTCAAAATGTTCTGATGGTTTTTTGAAATATTGAAACTTACTGGGGGTTTTGAAAAATTTTCAAGCTTATTGCCAAACAACTAAACTTATTAATGGTTTAATGAGACTTATCCATAGATAGTTATTTGAAATGATAGGTTAATAATAAACCATCAATCCCTCCCTTATATATAAAAGAATAGAGAATTAAACATGTCATTGCTAGATTTTTTTTATTATGAATAATTAAAGAGAATAAAAAATATATTATTTAATTTTCTTAATTGTGGATATTTGTTATTTGATTAACATTATTAAATATTTAATTATAATCAAAAGTTTCTAATTATGGACAAAATTTGATGTATACTCTAATTATGAATTGAAAGTACCAATCATATATAATATACATTCTACATAAAGAATATATGACACATGTCATTATTTTATACACTGATGTGACGTTGTTTGGTGACTTTAGGAGTTCCGCTAATTTCTCATTATCTATATAAGAGATGTAACTTTAAATTATTTCATAAGCCTTCATCCGAATTTTATCCGCTATGTCGTAGCCACCAAACATGCCCTTGGTACATATTCAAAAGAAGAAAATATTATACATAATAACTATAAACACTTCTTTAAAATTAACCATAAAATACTTTTTATCTCATCATCCGAATGGTTCAATGAAAAGTAAAAGGAATTATTCCATATCAAAGTAGCACAGAGAAATATCTCTGCCTGTTTTCGATAAAAAGTTGTTCTGTTCTTTTTAAAATATCCACATATAAACTATTACAAAAAGCTATGATATATCTTATCATATTTTAAAACCAAATATGCATTACCTTCTCTTTTCTTTGAAAGTGCTCGACAAACGCCTCATACGCTAAGATTGGTTCTGATCTAGTTTTGAGATAAATTACTTTTTTTGGATTTTCTTGTTTTGGTTTCAGAAAGAATATGCCAGAGTTGACCCATTTTTTATTAATAAAAACAAAGTCAAAACCGGACAGGTCTGAATCTATAGCCTCGTTTTAAGATTTTGTCAAACACCCTCTAGTAGTCCGAGTCAATATAGCATAATTGCGGTTTTTGATGATCTAATATGTCTCAGGATTAATTTTTCTTTTTAAATTTGCCCTAATTTCATGACCAAGAGAAATTATAAACGAGATGCTCTAGTATCATATTAAAGGCTATTTCACTATATTAAAACTCTGAAATTGTTACGAAAACTGAAGAGGGATAGTTTCTATACACCCTTAACGTCCTTTTGAGTTATCCCCTTTACTAATCTACATAATTCGAATCCAATTATTTATTAATGAATAACCCAATTTGGTCTAAAATAATTCATAGCATACCCTTTCTCTTTACTGAACATGTGGGCAATAAATTACGAGAACTTATAGTAATTCTATTTCTGTAGAAAAATATAAAAAGAGTAATGTACTTCAACGTTCTCAGCCAACGGTTAGCTATAAAGTCTAGAGGCTAGGGCAGGGCCCCTTTTCCGTCCTTCCTCCTGGGATTTCGCCTACTATTCGATGCCTACAGGGGTACTTTCGTCATCTCGTATCTTACAATCACGTAGGAGAAATAGCTTGCCCACTTTCTACGGCTAAAAGGGGTTGTTGGACCCACAGGATTTGAGGTGGTGGAGTTTTGGGTGGACTGGCGGCCTTACGATGGGGAAAAATTGGGTTGTTTTCCCCCGGTCCTGCGCTCTTATTCATGGGCAGCCGTTGACTGCTTTTTGTACGAGAAATTACCAAATTGTCCTTCTAGTTAGCTGCTTGCCATTGCGGTTATAGACGCGGGGACGTTTTCGACATTTCACTGTCTTCATGGGCGGATCAGATCACCCCGTCTCATAGAATATTCTGAGGGGTTGTTTGTTTCAGCTCCTATAATTTTAAGATACGAATTTCACAATGGGATTTGAAATACGTAGGTGTTTTGTTATGGGTTGGGATTTTTAAAATGTTATTTGTTTCATTAATTTTTTTGGGATTTGGAATACTATAATTTGTAATATTTTGTTTGTTTTAAGTTTAGATTGTAGCATTACCAAATACCAAAATTTTATAATATGATGAATATGCTATCTTGATGAGGTTACCTCTTACAAAAAGACAAAAATTAGGATTTTTCAAATCCTCTCCGATTGAGAGGTAAGCACACCCATTTATGAGACTTGTCAAAATCCTCTGTAATTGAGAGGATTTGACAAATTCTAAAAATTGGACATTTTTTTCACTTTTGGGATTCAATACTCTAAAAATTTTCTTAAAACAAACACCATATATAAAATACCAAAATATTAAAAAAAAAAACTCATTTTTTTATCACAAAACTTGTAATATGTACTAAATGCTAAAATTTTTGTTGAAACAAACACCCCCTAATAGGAATTATACCCGCTTGGCTTAGTTGTAGAGGCAATTAGATACTTACCTCCCCTTTGCACCGTGATTAGGAAAAAAATTTGGATCGTCTCACACGATAAAAGATGTTCTTGTGGGTTTCGTATTGATTGACACGTATAAATATACGTATAAATAAAGCATTTATATACTTTTCGATGCAAGAAAAGTTATAAAAAAAGTCGTGATGGTGATTTATCTTCAATAAGAGATGCGTCCGACAAAAAAGGGAAAATTTAGAACGAACAACTATTTTTTTTTTTACAAATTAAGAAGAGAGATTATGAAAACAGACTTATTATGGAGACGTAGAGATTTATTTTTTCAATTGTGTATTTAATTTTGGGATTTAGATTTTATATTAAGCGAGTATATTTTCCCCCCACAAATTATGTATTTATTATCTCTATATTTGTACTTTTAACAAAATGAGTTCAAGTGTTATAAAATATCCTTTAAGCTAAACAGTCTTTCTAAGTTGTTAGGCAATCCATACATATCATTATTAGAAGGGAAACTTGTACCTTAAATTAGAAATGTTACTGAAATGTTCCTTCAATAATATTTCTAGAATGGACCGAATTATTTGGGACCATAGCAAAAAAATGCAATAATCCAAAGCAAGAGGACAATGAGGGGGTATTTTGGAAATAATTTCCACAAACCAAATAATTTCGGGGATAAAGTTCAACACGAAGTCATTTAAAACCAAATCCTTCCTTAATCAGTGGTCATTTCTGGAACAATCCCCCCACCGCGCAAAATCCTAAATCAGGATCATTACGGGAACAAAACAGGGGCATTTCAGGAGCAATTCTCCCATATAAATTAAAGTGAGTAATTAGCATTTAAACCCCATATAGTTCTTCTTATTTTACACTTATACATCATCATTTGTTTTTAGCAAGCACTTAGTTATACGGGTTTACGGTCTCTAAAATTTGCATATTGATGTAATTTTTTAAAGCAAGCATGAGATTTTTTCCCCCTTGAATTTCTCATGTGACGTCACTTGTAATAAAATTTTAGAGCTTTTTGATCTTTAATGTTTATTGAAGTCATTGTTACTTTTATATCCTAATAGAATATAATGTATAAAGATATAAAATTTAGAAACTTTATAGTGGGCAGTGTTGCCAAACAACTAACGCTCTGACCCCTCCTCGTCTCTATCTAGAGAAAACGCAGAGGAGAGAGAAAAGTTTAGCCCCAGAAAAAGACCACACCGGGGTCACCCAGGGAACAAAACCTCTGATCACTATCCGGCTCAGGGGCATTTTGGGAACATCTCCCGTATAAAAACCGCAAACCCCTCGGACTCGCCAGAAATCGAGCCCCCCCATCCGAAATCCTTCCCAGAATACCCCTCCTCTTCCGCCTCCCTCAACAAAAGAAAGCCCAGCTTCGGGGGGAGAGAGAGAGAGAGAGAGAGAGAGAGAGAAAACTTTCAGTCCCAATATGGACTCGTCCTCCCCCGACGACTTCCGCTGCCCGATCTCCCTCGAAATAATGACGGACCCGGT